CCGGCTCTGGCTCAGAGGGGACCGGTGACAGTTTCTAGACCACAAGCCAGTGGGGGAAGCTGGGACTAGGACCTGGATGTCTGCCCTGCACCGGTCCGCCCCATCCTGAGTCTTGCAGGGACATCTGAACACCCGTGGTCCATGAGAAGAACTCATGTCCTCTGGTTTAGGAAGGAGGAAGCCAGCTCCCAGGGATGCTCCATAGTCCCCCAAGCTCAGGTCTGCCCTGTCTTTGAGGTTGAAGCCAGGCAGGGTGGCCAGGCCCTTCCACAGCTCATCCTATACCCGATGATGCCAAGGGCAGTGGGGCAGCCTGCTTGCCTGCTCCGAGCCCTGGGGCCATTCAGTGCTTTTCTCAGGTATCTCTGTGGGCGGGGGGAGGGGTGAATGCTCTTTTTATGGCCTGAGGATGCAGGAGGGGCAGGGCAGGCACACCTGGGGTGGACAAGACCAGGAAGCACTGCCCTGCCAGGGGCCAGGACCTCAGCAGCTGGAACTGAGAGGAAGAGTCTTGGCCACGCACGTGACCCACAACCTGTGACTGAGGCTCGCAGTTCCTCCTGTTACTCTGTGTCTCTCGGTTCCAGAAACAATCAGTACCATTATGGCCCCCACCATGCTGGGCCTTCTCCTCCTACATCAGTTCAACTGCATGTCCTGCAAAGCCTGCAGCGCCTGGTCCGGGTTCAAGTTCCTGAGAGAGACTCTGACTGGCTCAGCTCACTGCAGCCTGGCTCAGGGTGGTAATTGGTAGCTGATGGGTCAGGTGACCTCACTAGGCCAATCAGCTCTGCCGATGCATCTTAGGCTTGACTTCAGAGGCAGGTTCACATGGAGGGGGTAATGGGTGAACGACCTCCACCATTCAGCACCCCTGCTACTGAGACACTTGGGGGTGGGGTGGAGCTGGCACTGACCTTTGGTCCCTCCAGAGCTGCTGACAGCCTGGGTCTTGTCCCAGGGAGATTTGCTGCCTGGGATTAGAGGCCAGTGGTCACAGCACTCACAGGATCTGACCCCCAAGCTCCCTCTCCTGTTGGGGGGCCTTAGACTGCACCAGGTGAGAAGCCTCCTCCTGCATTTCAGCCTCCTGCTTGTTGGGCCTCACAGAGCTGGGCCCCTGACCCAGAGGGAGCCTGGCAGCAACCAGGCAGGCACGGCCCCTTCTGGAACCCCCACATGGAGGCTGACATCTCAGCCTGGGAGTCGGCGCACGGCCCCCTTTGGTAGCAGCGTGGACGGGTTCCTCGCTTATCCCTCACCCTCTGAGAGCCTGAGCCTCCAGGGGAGCCCTGTGCGAGGGTCCAGCCTGGTCTCTCCTGCAGGGAGGGGGTCAAAGGCCCGCCAGCTTCCTCCTGTGTGGGCAGGTACAGCCAGGGGAGGTGACGCCCCGAATTCCCAAGTCAGAGTGGTGGTGGCTGTGGTGATGGTCATGGAGAATGGCCAGATGGACTGGCCATCTGGGGTCACTGGTGGCAGAGGATTGGGAGGAAGGGGGAGAACTTGGGGACCTGGCCCTTCTGAGACCCCACCCAGGGCTAGGAAGTAGCAGACGGTAATTCTGCATGGTGAATTTTTTTCTTAATCCTTGTCCAAGGATATATTTATTGATTTTGTTTTTAAGAGTGAGAGAAAGGGAGGGGGAGAAAGAGAAACATTGACGTGAGACAGAAACATCAATCAATTGCCTCCTGTACATGCCCTGACTGGGGATCAAAATCACAACCTAGGGACATGCCTTGCTCAGGAATCAAACCCAAGACCTCTTGGTGATGGGAGGACCCTCCAACCCACTGAGCCACTTGGCGAGGACTGAGGTGGTTAATTATTAAAAGATTTATGTTTTTGCACCTCTATGTTCATCACAATGTTATTCAGAATAGCTGAGTTTTAGAAACAGCCCCAGTGCCCATCAGTAGATGAGTAGATAAAAAGCTGTGGTATATTTGCACAATGGAATACCAACTGGGAATAAAAACAGACAAAATCTTCCCTTTTGGGACAGCACGGATGGTCCTGGGGAGCATTAAGCCAAGTGAGATGAACTGGTCAGAGGAAATAAATACCACGATTTCACTCACATGTGGAATGTAATGAGCAACACAAACAAAATAGAATCTGACGCGCACAGAGAGAACAGTAAAGGGGGATAAATGGTGGTGGTAGTGTTACAGAAGAGATCCGGGTGGAGTGAACGATCTACTATTACCAGAAGGATCCCCCCTTTTCAACAAGGGTTCCCCCCTATCTTCTAGGTTCGCTTTGACCACTGCCAGAGGAAAGACATCTCTCAATGCCAGAGACTGGTGAAAAGGGAAGGAATTATTTATTTAAAAGTTATATAGACTTAGAGTAATGACTTAATGTCTTCACTAAAGTACCAAAATTCTGTAGAATACCCAGAGATGCACACAGTTCTTTCTTCTCCCCTTTGCCCAGTCCAGGGTACAGTATCTCAGGCAAAGAAGCAAAAGTCTGTGGTTCAGGCAGCCCCTCGGTTCTGGCACCACCCGCTGTGTCGCCACCACAATCTCCAGTTAATCCAGAGCCATGTGGCACCTTCTCATGACCCACCAGCAAGAGTCCTTTCACCCCTTTCCTTCCAGGCAAAGTCTCTCCTGCTTCCTAAGCCACGTGGAAAAATGAGCACCCCAATGGTCCATGATCCTAACCTACTCTGCCAAAGCTGTGTGGTCCCTCTCGGTATGGCTGCTGACCCTGGGTTTAAATCCCTGCACTAATCTTCCTCAGCAGCCCCATTTCTGACTCCTCCCACAATCAGTCCACCTGCCTGCATTCCTGTCTTCTTCCATAGTAAGTCCGGGTAGGCATGGTCGTGTGGTGTGGAGACAATCATCTGCAAGCTGTCACACAGGCTCTACAACCAGGGGCAGTTGCCTCCCAGTTACATCTTTGGTGGAAGTCACTTGCATCCCCCTACCCCAAAGCATGGCCACAGCTGTGTAACATATCTGTGAAACCAGCTAAAGGTTACAGATATTGTAAACAACGACGCCAGAGGTTAGCTGCAAAGCTGTTGCTATACAAAACAGCTCTCCATGGCCCTGCTCCATGTGTCCCATCTCTCAGCTCAGACTGGTGGAGGGTGAGGACATCATATATATATTTTTCTAATATTTCTTGGACACCCTGAGTTCTGGACCCCATTACAAATCCCTATTTGGGGCCCCCTCTGGCTGCACCCCTGTAACAGTAGGAGATGATGTTGGGTGGTGAACAGACAATGCAACACACAGATGATGTGTTGTAGAACGGTACACCTGAAACCAATATAATTTTATTGACCAGCGTCACCCCCCATAAATTCCATAGACATTTTTAAAAAAGAAAAAAAATACGTCGCCTAAAATGACTGTGCTGCCCCAACTGGTAAGCTCAGTTGGATGGAATCTCATTCTATAACCAAAATGTGGTGGGTTTGATTCCCTGTCTGGCCACACCCCAGGTTGTGGGATCACTTCCTGGCTGGGGCATGTGAGGTTCCCCAGCTGGGATGCACACAGTCCCGGTCCAGGCGCAGGAAGGAGGCAGCAGGTCACTGCTTTTCCCTCGCTTTGATTTTTCTCTCTCTCCTTCCCTCTCTCCCTTCCCCTCTCTCTGAAAGCAATGGAAAAAAAGTCCTTCTTTGGAGATAAATAATAATCATTATAATAAAATGAATGTGGTCCCCTTGGCAGCTGCTGATGGGAATGTAAGTCTTCTCTAAAGGAGAACTTTCTCAGAAAAGTTCAAGAAATACATGATCACATCTAAAATGTAAAAGCTAACAGGCAAAAGGAAACCAAAACAAGAAACAAGCCACTGAGAGAGAGAGACAGTAGGAGAAAAACAGAGTGGAATGGGACTCACAAAGCCTTTCCATACTGGGATTATTGCACACAGACTATAAAATATGTATATTTAATATATATTTATATGAAAGAAGGGATTGGACTCATGAATCATTTCAATGAGGAGAAAGGAAATATTTTTAAATGATTGAGTAGATCTGATCAAAGAAACTGAGTATTTGGGAATACACAAGAGAATAATGAGAATATTTTGCCATAAAGAAAACCAAATTTTTATAAAGTCAAATATATCATTTCTGTTACCTTATTAAAATGACTTACTTTTTAGAGCAGTTTTAGGCTCACAGAAAAACCGAGGGAAGGTACAGAGATGTCCCGAGCCCCCGACCCCACTCATGCACAGCCTCCCCTGCTGTCCACAGCCCCCGGAGAGCACACTGTTGTCACAGTCCCTGAACCTGCAGTGACACAGCATCATAAGCCAGGTCCTTAGTCTACCTCAGGGGCCGCTCTCGCTGCTGCGCATTCTACGAGTCTGGGCCAATGGTGACCCCAGGCACCCCCATCCCAATGTCCCACAGAGGGGTGTCCTGCCCTCAGTGTGGGGGTGGGGGTCTTCAGCATTCCCCCCGGGGGCAGCTGGAGCCTCGGCAAGGGGGGTGCCCAGAGATGAGAGCATTCCCTCTGCTATCACAGGTGGCGAGGAGGAGGCCTCTGAGTTCAAAGAGAAAAGCAGCACTTTACCAGGGGGGCTGCTTGAGGGAGGTCACTGGGGGAGGGTCATGCCTTGTGAGGGGCCCCAGGTACCAGAGGGCGGGACTCCACAGGGGGAAAGTGGTGGGGGGAGAATCTCGTGTTCCTGTTCTGCCCCCTGGGAGTGAAAGGAGTGATGTCCAGTGGGAACAAGGGTCAGTCTGCACAGAACCACGGGGACGGTCCTCTGAGCTCCTGCCGCAGACCAGACAGGGGCAGGGGTCTCCCCACCACCACTTCACCCGACCCTCACGCTGTCACCATGATGCGGACCCCGGCCCCTCTGGGAGAGAAGGACCTGAGGCCTGGGAGTCAGGAGCGTCACCCAGGGCCACATGGCCAGAGCTTGCTGGTGTCCCCAACAGGCGCTGAAGCTCCTCCTGTCTGGTTTAGAAGTCTACACAACACACAGTGGAATTCCTTTGTGAAGGGAAAGGCAAATACATTTATTCATTCTAGGTCTTGGTACAATTATTCCTTCCTTTGGTCAGCGAGAGGGAGAGCGAGGGACAGAACTGCGGGCTGCCCAGGAGCTGGGGTCAGGGAGGCAGCGGAGGTGGGGGCGGTCGGCTGCTCAGCAGCTTCGAGGGCAGGATCCTGTGACTTCTTCAGGCTGTCACTGGGGTGGGACCAGTTCCTCACTATAGAATTAGCAAGGGTTGCTGCTCCAATAGCAGCCGCACCTAAGGCTGACACCAGCCCTGCTCCCATTGCGGCGTTTTCAACCTGAAAGTGGGCAGCCCGTGTCAGAATCCAGGCCCATCCAGGCAGGTCCTCCCTCCCTCCCTAGACGAGCCCAGGGTCCTCTCCCTCAGAGGATGAGGCCCCATTCCCTGGGAAACAGAAGTGGGGACCACTTCTCAGTGTGGGCTTGTCTGGATTTGTCCCGCCAACCGGCAGGAGAGGCTGATGGAGTCCTCTGTGTGCACTCCCTGGGGGAGGCCGTGTGTTCCCGGCCTGGGTGGGTGGGGAGGAGGCTTTGTGCCTGGGGTCCTGGGCCCAGAGCTCTGGGGTCAAGGTGGGAATGGCTGTGTGGTCTGGGCTCTCCCTGGGGCCGCCCCTGCAGGGGGACGCTTGTGGCAGAGGCTGAGGGGAGACCCTGGGAAACCATGGCCACCATGTGGACTGCTCACAAGTGCAGCCTGGAAACTTTGCCCTCCAGCCCCTGCCTCAACCTTGAACTCCAGACTCACATGTCCATCTGCTGCTCAACATGCTCGCCTGGACATCTGGCTGGCCACACACACCCCACCTCAGCATTGAACCCTTACCCCCTGCACACCTGCCCCTCCTGCCCCCACTCTCTCTCACCCAGGCCCCCACCCACCCACTGATAGGGGCCCCCAGATCTGGAGTGCTGTGGTCAGCAGTGAAGAGCAGGGCCACTGGGCTTTGAATCCTGCTCTTGCCCCTCACTAGCTGGGTGTGTTAGGACAACACACTGGGAAGAGAGGGAGGGGGAGGGGTTAAAGCTGTGTCCAAGTGGGACATAAAGGTGTCCTTGAGCGGGCACGTGGGCCCACTGACCGGGCACCCCCTGCCCCAGTGCTCTCTGGGGCCTTAGGAGAGCTGACCTGCCATGGTGCTGGGTGGGCCCAGACGCTCCCTGACCACACACAGGGGCCCCAGGGGCTGCCTTTAGGGGGGTCTTACAGGGGAAGGACCCTGAAGAGACAGAGCTGGCCAGAGCCCCAGAGGTCCTCCTACCACCTCTTCTTCTACACATGGGGAAACTGAGGCCCAGAGAGGAGGTGACCTGTGCAAAGACCCCGAGAGGATTAGAAGCAGATCTGAGAAGGGCTCTCAGATGTCCTGCCTCCCTGCCACAGGGGAGCCCGCTTTTGCATCATTCAGGGTAACTATTCCCTCTGGGTGCACCGCCTGGTCGCCCCTGAAGCAGACCTCCAGGAGGGAAAGGGACCACCCAGAGAGGGTCTTACCTGCAGGGATCTGGGCTCACCATATCTCAGTTCTGTGACAAAGTGCTCACAATTGTTCGTGGTAATATCGTACGGCACCTTCTTGCCAATCATGCTGTAGACAGAACTGAGAATCTCCTTCACAGGCAGTGGGTCCAGCTCCTTGTCCAACTCGTTGTTCACCCGATGATTGCACCTCCTTGCCACATAAGTCAGCCGCTCCTTTTTCACCTCTGCTGTATCAGACCAAACTGAGACAAATGTGGAGAAAGCCGCCCCAGCGTACTCACCTAGAATCAGAGACACTGGGATCAGGCACTGCAGGATAAGCCTCGGGGGAGGGGTGGGGGGTGGGGGGGGGGTGGTACTACTGGGTGGGGAAAGAGAGAGTAAGACCAGAAGGAAGGGAGGTTGGAAGCCGCTACTGAGCTTTCACTGTCTGTCCCTTCCCAGGCATGACTGGGGGAGTCACAGATTTCGCTCCTTTGACTGAACAATCTGTGATGTGTGTTCATGGTGTTAGTGCTGGGGTGGCCAGTGGCTGCCTTGTGTTCCGTTACGAGAATGGTCCCCATCCAGCTGACCAGCTCCTCCCGTTAATGAGCATGTTGGCTGTGCCCCGGCTCAGCCGCTCTGAACAATGACTGGAAACAGTGTTTGTTCTCCGTTCCTCTCGGGGCCCTTGTGTATTTCCCAAAGAGGTCAGAGCCGTTTGAGCGCCCACCGTGTTTGACCAAAAACAGCATGAGCCCCGTGCCCCGCCCTTCCTATTCACCCGATCTCTCCCCAAGCAACTCTTTTGTTTCCCTGGGTGGAAAAGGTCCTAAAAGTGACGTGTTTTGCTGATGTGGGAGAAGTGACACAAAAAACGGCAGCAGCACTGAAAGGCATCAGAATCAACGAGTCAAAAGCAGGTCTGAGCAGTGGAGAGAAGGTCTCGGTGGTTGTGTGGCATCAAGCAGAGAGTTCTTTCAAGATGACTGATGTTTAAACATGTAAGAATAAATAGATCTCTTTCATAAATAAATTCCGATGTTTTGGACCTCCCCCCTCAGATAATCAATATTGGACCTGGGACACATTCTCAGGGCGTGCCTGACAGCACTGTGGCCAGTGGAGAGGCCCACACTGGAGCCACCAGCTGCTGGGGCCCCCAGTCCATCCCACTGGGTCCGGGTGTCATGTTCTGGGGGGCGTCGGGAGCAACAGTGCGCACAGCAACTGAGCACGCTCAGTTTATGGTTCTGTCTGAAGGCTGCAGTTCCCACTGAGCGCTCCCCCATTAAGAACCCCCCTACCCCGCATGTGCAGACACAGGCCCGACCCCGGACCCCGCGGGCTGCAGCCCTGCCCTCTGCTCCAAGCCTCCCAAAGTGTCGTCATGATTAGGGGGGTTTCATTCACTAGTTTCCATCCGTTCAGACATTGTTACGACTCTGTCAGGGTAGCTGAGAGCTTACAGAAAATGGACAAGATGCAAAGATTATTCTGAGAACAGACTCCTTCTGGGGACAGTGCAAACCCTCGTGTCCAAGGTTAGGGTGACAGGTTCTGCGGGACATGCGGCACTGGCCCTCAGTCAGCAGTCCCACCCCAGCATCCCTCCGTCCTGGACAGCACGCACACCTGCGTCCTGCACTCCCCTTGTACCTGGCGGGCGGTCCTGCCTCCCCTGCTCTCCAGGAGTTGAAGAGAGCCCTCAGGGCCCGCAGGTGTGTCTGTGAGAGGATGCTGTTGGTGACATGTCACCATGAGAGCTGCCTCTGTTGAGGGCAACTAAGTCCACACCTAGGACACCTTTTCTGTGAAATCACATGAGTACCCAGGACAGAGCACTGAGGAACCTTGTCCTTTATGTGACCACAGACACTCAGAGCCTTTGCTGGTTTAAGTGACATCAGCCCTCGCCTGCCCCGGTAACCGGGCACCGAGCTCCAGAGCCCCCAGTGCCCAGGCACCTGGCTGCACTGGGGTGCCCACAAATCTCTTTTTCTGCCCTGTCAGGCCCGGTGGGACCCACTGGGGTGACTCAGAGGGACATGGATGTACGGTGACCCCACCCACTGCTCAGGGAGAAGCCACCTCGGGTTTCTCCTGGTGGCATTGAGCTTTGAGGTATTCTCATTATGTTAATGAAACTTTTGAGAATTATGCTTTCACACTCCTTACTTGGAGGAGCCAGATGGACCACGTAGCCATCTCCCAGGTAGAGCGCCCAGTGCTGGTAGATAGGACGGGAAATCTCAATCAGGTCTCCAGGATTGTATTCGCTGCTGACCTGCAAGAGAAAATGCCAGAAGGGTGTACACAGATGTCCAGGGCCCAGCAAAGGCCCCACCTGCAGACCTACTTGGCCTGAGGACCCCTGGCTGGTGCTCATCACCTGGTGAGGGTGTGTGGAGCACCGGTTTGCGCTGGTTTACAGACTGAGGCTCAGAGACGGGGCAGGGAGTGCAGGGAGCACCTGGCGGGAAAGCAGCTGCACTGGGTCTTCTCTGCCCCGGGTCTCCCAGTCCCTGCGTCCCTGCCCCCTCCCCTCCCACAGCTCCTTCCTGGGCCCCAGTGTACTGCCCAGGGAGTGGCCGTTTTTTGACTGGAGAATATTTCCGTTTTACTCTCCTTTTCTGCCTGACCTCAGCAAATAGCAGCCCCCCCACAGCCCTCACCCCAGGACGCCCGATCTGAGGCCAGGGGTCCGCTTCCCTTTGCCCTCCTTCCTGCCAACACCCAACACCAGTGTTGACACTAGAAGTTTCTCCTGATTCATGTCCTTGTTCATCTCCTCACAGATGACTTGGTTCAGGGCCTCCCGGTTCCCCATTATGTGACCCTCATGGTGTCCTGAAGAGCCCCCTGCCTCCTGCGCCTCCCCCTCCCCCTCCAGTCTCCCCAAGACCCACTGTGGCTTCCCACAGGGCCCACAGGAAATGACCTTCGTCTGGCCTCAGAACTCAGGCTGGCCCGTGGGCAGCTCTCAGGCCCCTCAGGCCGACCCCTCCTGGCCCCCCGGCCCTCCCAGCACACTGCCCCCCGGGGCCACTGCAGGCCTTGCCTTCCCACCAGGCAGCTCACGCCCACCTCTGCCCCTCTGCACACACATGTGCTTCTCTGTCCTCCTCTCCCCCTGCCCCACCCCCACGCCTCCTCTGCCCCCATCAGACAGACACCCCTCCTCTGAGAAGCTGCCCTGAGGGCCACAGCCTGGCTCAGCTGACACTGTCTGGGTCCCCAGGCCCCGGGGACCTGCACCTCTCCCCCACAAGGACCACGTGGCACTGCAGGTCCCTGTGCCTGTCTGCACCCTGCCTGGGCCTTGAGCTCCAGTCAGGGAGGCCCCTGTGTGCCGGGCCCTCCCTCCTGCATCTCCAGGATCCCCCCAATAGGGGGCAGGTCTGCAGTAGGAGGGAAGGAAGTGTGTGAGGAGGAGGAAAGTGGGGCAGTCAGCGGGGCTGGGGTTCTCCAGCTCCTCCTCTCTGTGCCCAGGGAAGGGCGGGCCCAGCGCCGGCTCCATCTGGGGGACAGGAGGAAATTTCTCACTCTGAATCTAATGTCTAACTAAGGCCAGGCCAGGGCACTGTCCACAGTAGCAGGGGACAGACGGAGGTGAGCTTGGGCCCTGTCTGGGTCAGAAACGGTACCTCAGGGAATTGACCGGTTTTGTTTTCCCCAACACAGCCCTGGCCCTGGACCCAGGATGCAGATGGACGGGCTCTGGAGTGTGCAGTGCGCCTTCCCAGAACCCCCTCATTTCCAGGAATAGCCCGAGACCAGCGGCTCCTTCTCCGCTAAACACACACAGAGCTCGGCCTGCCCCCCTGGGGACGTGTGTGAGTCTGAACCCAGGGTGACAGGAGGGGAGCTCTGCGCTCAGCACGCTAAAACTCCATAGCACAGTGCCAGGCAGGGCCGCCTGTGTTGGAGCAAAGTGGGGGGAGAACAGACTGGGGCTGAGAAGGCACTGACCTGCATTAGCAGCTGAGACACACAGGTGGGGGTCCCTCACTTTTACGATATCGGGTCCCCCATCAGCCCACCCTCGGCATCTTCCCCAGCTCTGGGAGACACAACCTGGACACCCACATGTGCTCTCACCTGGGGCCCCCTGGTCTCCCCACAGTGCCAGATGCAGAGACAAAGCTCACTCTCCCCGAAGACCTCACAGTCCTGCAGAACAAGTGAGGAGCTCTGGGGGTCACAGGGCTGGGAGCACAGGCGGGGCCCTCACAGAAGGGGAGCTGCCCGCCGCCCAGAGCCACCGACAGGAAGGTGCAGGGACTAACCCAGGAGTCCATGGCGCTGTGTGGTGTGTGCTGCTCATGGGACAGGTTTATACCTGTTGAGAATTCCTCTTTCACTTTCCTTTTGATTCTAAAAGTGACTGAACATTAATTTTTTTTTATTTTTTTAAATTTATTGATTGCAGAGAGAGGGGAATTGAGACAAGACAGTGTGAAGCTAGGAAAATTCTTGGACCATTGGAAGGGGGAAAATGAGATAACAAAATAAAACAACAGTAAATAGTTTGAGTATCTTACAGCCAGCTGGTGAATCGCAAGAACTTATCTCCCCTAACCAAGTACCTCTGAGAGTGAATGGTCCTTTCTAACCAAAGAATACACAGCTTAAATCTCCCTGGTCTGGGGGATAGAGAAGAGACCCAATTAATGCCATTTGTGCCCTTTAGTACCAAGGATAGATAAAGTCATAACAAATAACAAAAATCCCATTTAAAAATGCCAGACTCAAGATGAAAGGAAAACAGTATAGCAGACCAAAGAATATTCCCAGTATACCCCTACATGCTCATTGTGATGCTGCAGCATATTATAGATGCACCTGGAAAGCTGGTGAACATTCTGCTAAAAACCTAAGGTTCTCACCCACGGAAGAAAGATAACGATAAAATTTTTGACTTCCAGCAAGATGGAGACATAGGTGGACGTACCACCACGCCCAACCAAGATTGGAACAACAACAATTTAGAGGCAGAATAACACCCAGAACTGACAGAAAACTTATCTGAATGGAAGTCGGACAGCCAAGAAGTTGAAATATACCCGTTCATCCAGACTGGTAGGACAGGTGAAGACGAGCAGCCGGTGTGGGTCGGGTCGCCGCACGGAGAGCACAGAGAGTTGGGCACATAAGGCAACCAGGAGCGCCTAAGGCATCTGGGGCGCACAAGATCTCAGCGGGTGGACCCTGAGTACACAAGCGGCAGCTGGCAGACCCAGTGAGGTGGCGATTGTGGAGCAGGGCAAAGTGGGAAACCCAGGATCCCAGGGAAGGGACTGAGGTCCCACAGAGAACTGAGCAACTGCCATTGTTCCCTCCTGACCTGGTGGTCCCCACATACAATGTCACAATCTAGTGACTGGGGTGCCCAGCCCTGGTGAACACCTAAGGCTCCGCCCCTCACTGTAACGGGTGTGACCAGACCAAAAAAAGAAAGAAAAAGAGAGAGAGAGAGATGACTCAAACAGAACAATTCGGTGCCCCAGAACTCATCCTTTTGAGCAACCAAGAGATAGCTAATCTATCAGACGCACAGTTCAAAACACTGGTGATCAGGAAGCTCACAGAATTGGTTGATTTGGGGTGCAAATTAGATGAAAAAATGCAGGTTACCATAGAAGAGATGAAGGAAAATGCACAGGGAACCAATAGTGATGGGAAGGAAACTGGGACTCAAAACAATAGAGTGGACCAGAAGGAAGAAAGAAACAACCAAACAAGAAAGAATGGAAGAATAAGAATTCAAAAAAATGAGGAGAAGCTTAGGAACCTCCAGGACATCTTTAAACGTTCCAACATCCGAATTATAGGGGTACCAAAAGGGGAAGAGGAAGAGCAACAGATTGAACATGTATTTGAACAAATAATAAAGGAGAACTTCCCCATTCTGGCAAAGGAAAAAGACTTCCAGGAAGTCCAGGAAGCTCAGAGAGTCCCAAAGAAGTTGGACCCAAGAAGAAACACAGCAAGGCACATCATAATTACATTAGCCAAGGTAAAAATGAAGGAGAGAATCCTAGAAGCAGCAAGAGATAAGGGGACAGTAACCTACAAAGGAATTCCCATCAGACTGTCAGCTGATTTCTCAAAAGAGACCTTATAGGTAAGAAGGGGCTGGAAAGAAGTATTCCAAGTCATGAAAGACAAGGACCTACATCCCAGATTGCTCTATCCAGCAAAGCACTCATTTAGAATGGAAGGGCAGATAAAGTGCTTCTCAGATAAGGTCAAGTTAAAGGAGTTCATCATCATCAAACCCTTATTTTATGAAATGTTAAAGGGACTTATCTAAGAAAAAGAAGATTAAAAAAAAACCATGTATAGTAAAAGGACAGCAAACTCACAATTATTAACAACCACACCTAAAACAAAAACAAAAACTAAGCAAACAACTAGAACAGGAACAGAACCACAGAAATGGAGATCAGATGGAGGGTTAGCAACAGGGGAGTGGGAGGAGGAGAGAGAGGGAAAAGGTACAGAGAATAAGTAGCATAGATGGTAGGTTGAAAATAGACAGGGGGAGGGTAAGAATAGTATGAGAAATGTAGAAGCTAAAGAACTTGTAATTATGACACGTGGACATGAACTAAAGGGGGGGAAGTGGGTGGGAGAAGGTGTACAGGATGGAGGGGCATGAAGGGGGAAATGGGACAACTGTAATAGCATAATCAATAAAATATATTAAAAAAAGAAAGAAAGATAACAAGCTTTCCCAACAAAGATGCAGTGCGACCTTTCTCCAGGGCACACTAATGTCCCTTCTCAGGAATGAACATTTATTTCCTTCTGAACTCTAAGGGTCCCAAGGAGACTTGCAGTCAGGGGAGCAGCAGGCCCCGCTGCCTGACCCAGGGGCTGACCCCCTGATCCTGTCTCCAGGGCCCCCTTTCTCTGAGCACTGCCAACCCCCCCCCCCACCACCACCAGAGTGAGCTAAGGGCAGCCCTGCCTTGGCTGGCTCCTTCTTATGGCTTTCCTGGAGAGTCACAGCAGGGCACCACCCAGTGTCTCTCCTGTTACTTCTACCAAAGTCCTTCCTTTGTCTCACTGTCCCCAGCTTTGATACATGCACTCTCAAAATCACCTGGACTCGTGTTGTAAAATCTTTGCTGCACTGAGTCAAGCACCTGCACATACAGGCTGGCCCGAGACAGACCTGCTTGGGCTGGTGCTTGTCTGGTAACCTTCTGGGGCCCAGCCTGGGGCTCTGCAGTCATTTTCCTTTCCTCACTCGCTGTCTCTAATTCACCCACCCGTCACTTCTCAGTGTCACTGGATGAAAACCTACCTACCAGCTGTGAAGTAAATCCCTTGTCAAAACATGTCTGGTCTGCACTGAGACTGAAGGTAAGGCTGCCCTCTGGACACAGAGTCACCTGCCCACATGACCATCCCCAGGTGATGCCTGGGTGATGGGGTCCAGTGAGGTCAGGAACTGCTGACATCCACAGGGACTGCTTCCCACCCCGCCTTCTTGGGCCTGTGTGCGGTGGAGTCCCCTGTCCAAGTGGGGTAAATCCACCCCCAGGGCATCTAGCCAATGTCCCTGTGGTGGGTAAGGCCACCCTCAGGGCACGGGGTATATACATCCACAGCACATTCCTCTCCTCATGTAGCCAGGCAGCATGGGGCCCACCCGCCTGTTGTGGTGTACACACCTAATGCAAAAGCAGTTATTACGCCAGTTGTGACAACTTGTCAAAATTGACGTTCTTGTCATGCTGCATCTCATCTTCTGTAACCAGGTTTCTCTTGCTCCCTTTGGAACGCTCTTTGGGATGTTACATGTGCAGATTCTTAAATTCAGCCAAGACGTTTTTGTTGCCACATCTCATTCATGGCTTTTTAAACATTCACTGAGAGCCTCAACACGTCTTCCTACTGGATGATCAGAATTAAATAAAAAATAAAGAGTATTTCAAATGCCCCAAACCCTGTGCAGGCTGTGGAAGCAACAGAAATGACTGACACTCTCCCTTGTCCCCCTCCTGCCTGCGCATATGAGAAACGAACAAAAAAACCCCTCCCTTATATTTCCCCCTTATAAAAACCCCCTTATATTTCAGAAACTGAAGTGGCTGAAGAGCCCCCAAGCCAGAGATCTCCCAGGCCCCCAACTGCTCCAGCCTCCTTAAAGTTGTCAAGGACAAATGAAAAAATCTTGTCTTCTCTACAATTATTCATAATATTATTTGCGTGCATGGTGAAAATATAAAGAACTATCTCAAGTGTATTTTTTCCAGGATCACGTGGTCTGGGAAAATACTTGATATTAAAGCTGGTTTAAGTTTGGTTAATGTCTTTTAAAGTTATTAACATTAAGTACTGAAATATTAATTACTAGGCAAGTCTTAAGTTCATCTGCTTTTAGCTTTTTATTAAGGGAAAGCTAGAAAATAAATTTGAAGCTGTTAATAAATGTCTTATTCTTTATTAGAAAGTTTGTCTCTTGAAAATGTGAACTTGTTTACCTATGGAAGAACCCGTACTAGAAGTTATGAAATACATTTACTAATCTAAAGAATGCTAATTGATTACCTTTAATTGTCATTAAGCATCAAGATTTCTAAAATTAAGAATTCTCTTAAATTGGAAATCAATGATATAGTTTCGAAATGGAAGATAAAAAGTAAAAAAAACACTTGTTAAAGAAAAGGAAAAATAGCTTGTTCTAAAATTAGTTATTTCTGAATGAGTTGAAAAGAAACAAATTAAAGGAGACAAAGTCACAGAGGGTTTGTGTATGTTGCAGAGTCTGTACAAATTGAAGGTTTGTGAAGAGAAATCTTGAGAGGAAATTATGTAAATAAGCTGAGTAATAAATTTAATTAGGTAAATGAATCTAAGTACCAAAAGTAAAGTTAACACAGAATTTGTTTGGTTCTTTCAGTCTGATAAATGGGAGAAAGTTTTTCCTACATATGCCTAAAAAGCAAAGATTCTGTTTTACCAAAATAATTGTATGACATAAGGTGTTAATCAAATACTTGTTTAACTTTTTAGGAAAAATCATCTCTCTCAACCCTAAGAACTGAAGTTTTGTCGGCCTCTAGTAATGTTGCATACCTTTTATTACCACCTTAAGTTAATGATCTAACATTGTTGCATAACGGTGTGGAACCCTTACGTCAAGTATATCCAACAAG